AAAAGCAATGATTATTCTGTGAAGAGTGTTCTGCCAGTGGTGTTTACACATCTCAATTCATTATTGTATCCTGAGAGTTCATTCTGGAGTGTAGTTTTTGTTTAGTTTCACCCACATAGCTTCCAGGAGATTATTTGGCTAATTGGGTGAGATCTACCACATTTTGTGATAGACTTGTAGGATCTTCTTTGCTCCTACTTACTTTTTAGTGAGTTTTCATTTATATATGTAGTTGCACACAAACTATTTTATCAGTTATTTATACCTTAAGATGTCTGCTGCTTTCCCAGACCTCAAGAAGGGTCTTTTGTGCCCAAAAGGTTGTCTAACTTTTGTCCCAACTCTCCAGTTGTTCCACTAAAAGTGATCACAAAACAGTCCTTGCCTCTGCCACAAAAGTGACATTTTCACGGGCCTGGTCTATATGTATGGCACAGGATTAAGTTACTGGTATGGAAGAATCCAGCCAGTTCAAGAGCAAAGAGATTTTTCCAGTTAAAGGTATAAAAATAGCCCTAAATCTTCATACTAAAATCTAAACGATTAGCCTTTTTCAGCATGCTAGAGAAAGCAAGTAGGAATGTTCTGGCATCCAGATCTGAGAAATCCATACCAATGAACAACCCTTCCCCTCCAATATGAAATGCTGTAACTAAACATCTTGATGAAATGCACAGCTAAGCAAAGTTATCTTGATTGCAGTCACCTTGGCATGAAGGTATTAGAAAGGGCACCTTTCTTTGGGTTAAAGCTGTCCTATCTGTTCACACAGCTTTGAGCAGGTTTGGTTATGTGCTTTGATTATATCCTTTTTTTTGCAAGCAAATTGCCTTTGAAAAAAATCACACATGATGTTGGAATACCTCTGATGTGGGGAAAGCTCCAAAAGCAGTGTTGATTACAGTATCAGCAAATCTCTAGTCTCTTATCCCATTATAAAATAAAAAGCCATTGCTAAGGCTTCAGTTATTAGATGGCTAGACTAGTATGTTTCTGTAAATCCCAGCTCCTTTTAACTTGGTGTAATGTGTTCGTACTCTTGTTGTACATTTGGCCCTATGGGTGACCAGTTTCCTCATCCTGACTGTGATAGACAATTATTGCGGTGGCCTATATCCATAAGCACTGGGACAAGGTTAGACCTGCCATTAAAAACACGTCTTCTGATGCCTTGGGTTGAGTATAGAGTAAGCGTGATATGCTGCCATAAGCTACCTGTTGCTTATTGTCAGCTACTGCTGACATGCTGCAGATCCCTGCCCTCTTACCTTGTAGGTCTTCTGCCCATGCCCTTGCTGAGGAAATTTGGGGTCCTGTTTAGACTTACTCACAGGCAAACTACAAGGTTCCTCTCTTTACTGCTCTTGAATCTTCTTTTTCATAAGCATAGTTTCTTTCTCAGGGATGTTCATTAGGTCTCCTGTATACACTCTTTTTCCCTACTATCTGGAGTTATCCAGAAGATCAGGAGGGAGGGGCACTGTCAGTTAGTGGCCCTGTATTGGAAAAGGAGACTGTTTCTTCAGTCTCCGGACTTTTTCTAAAATAAAGGTGGAGTGGACACATGATGGACAGCCTTTGCCAGTAAGTCACTGTTTCTAAGTAAAGATAACGCTTGAAGTGATTAGTAACTATATAGGGATGTTAAGTTGTAGCCATGTTGGTCTAAGGACTTGTGAGTTGGTCTGAGCTGGTCTAATAAAAGATACCAGACTTACCCAAAGAACCTTGTCTGCCTGCTGGTAAATAGTGGAGAGGTACCTGGGGAGTCGGATGTCAGGCAGGTTATAATGTGCCATAAATCCAATGTCTATATTTAGTCCATGATTCTTTGTATCCAGGAGGTTGATGAAGTACAGTCCATAGGCTTATCTATGTACTGTGTTTTGTAAATTCTATTTGAGGATTGGAACTGAGAGATTGGAGAGAGTTGTTTTCTTGTGAGAAATGTGTCCCCACAGATAAATGGGTATTCTTGTTTTTGATAGATTTCCAGTGTGCATTCATTCTGGTGCGCAGTTATTGTTTGGTCTCCTATGTATTTTCCATCAGGACATCCGGTGCATTGGATGAGATATTACGTTTCTGGAGGTGCAGCTATAAGATCCAGGAATGCTGATGGTTCTGTTGTGGGATGTAGTATTTGCTGGGGTGGTGGAGATATGTTGACAGGTTTTGCATTCCATGTCATAGTATGATCTGGATCCATTTGGTGTGTTTTGGACTGTAGGAAGTTTGCTTCTGGTGATGAGGTTAACCAGTGGAGTGGACACAAAGGGTGTGCCAGTGTAACTTACTATAAAGCAATCAGGACTTGTCATAGGGTAGATTTGTTGTAAGCATTTTGCCAAATGGAAATTGGCTCCCCTGTCACCCATGATCAGGTGCTGTAATAATGCTTACTGTAGGCAGCCAGCTGGTCAGTATCCATCCCGTATTACAGAGTAACATTTGGGTTGAATTAGTGTCTTTGCACCCTCCATCTGACACCCATTGTCCTTTCTTTTTAAGAAGGATCTCTCTCTGTCTTTACCTGCTTCTAATATAGCATTTTCCGTATCTTGTATCTTCATTTTCCTGAGAATCAAGTATAGCTGTGTCTGGTCCATAACAGGCTTTGCATCTCTAAGTCCTTAAAGGAAATACCTATGCATTTCCCTCAAGGATGTTTGAGTTTTACAGGCTTTGTCTCTTGAGATACGATACTGCACATTCCACAGTGATGTAATTCCTTATCGACAGCAGTATGTTGTTGTTGTTGTTTTTTGGAGTGCAAGAAATATTGTTCCTCTTTGGCCCAAAGATACCATATTCAAGAGAATCTTGGGCATACTTTGGCTGTTCAGTAGGTCTTTGTGAACTACCATCCATTGTTCTTCATAAGTCGGTACTCATGCGACTATCATCAGGCATCTCAAGGTTTAAACTTTAGAGGATCAAATTCCACTATTTCCAGAGGGGTGAGAGGATGCACCTATGAAACTTGCTTGTCAATCTTGTCTCCTGCAAACAGCATCATAGCTCACTTGCTGAGAACAGTAATAGTCTTTGGAGTTGAAAGGTCTTGCATGTACTGTGTGATCTGCAGGGTAGCTTGTCAGCTTCTCTCTGTACACGTTTAACTCTAGAAGCTGGGCAGTCGGATATTTGTGGGTGATTTCTTGCAGAACGTTCTCTAAAATGTAATCCTAGTAAACTTAAATTCCTCATGTAGTTCTGTTTTGAAGCCTTTCCAAAGGGATGCTGCTAGTAAAATCCCATTAGCTAAGGGAACTGTAGAACTTGCATCTCGGTATAAGGATCATATTCTTTCATTGACAGAGTCCACAGATAGAAGACTTCTTTCCCTTCCCCCAGAGTGTTTCCTTAACCAGTTGAATGGAAGGTTCTGATTTGGTTCAAATTGGTTTATAAACTTTAATTCGCACTACAGAGCATAACTTTCACCAGTAGCTGCATATATACTACAAAGTTGTTTATATGGATGGAAGCAGTCTCAATTGGCATGCTTAGTGTAGCTGGCCAAGCCCTCCCCTGTAATGACTGACAAGCATGGTTCTGGTTGTATAGCTGTATGCAGGCTGAGCCCATTGGTCTCTGAACCTTGTAACTTAAGAAGTCGACGTAGATTTTCCTGTTCCGTTTTGTGTTGCTTTGCTATTATGACCGTATGGATACAGGGAGTGTTTCTAGTCTTGAAGAGACCAAAGAGGACCTGAAATTTTACGTTGTGTAAAGAGGGGGCGGGGGGAGGAACCCCTAGAAAAAACTGAGAGCTTGTACACCAAAACTATTCCTTTTTAGAACAAGTCATAGCCACAGAATGTCCCAGTTCTATAAATGATTTAGAAGAATCTCTAGTTTTGTTACAAATTCTGAATCTCATCGTTGTTTTCTGTAGTAGTAAGAGTGGTGCTGAAACAAAGATTCCTGAACATGGAACCTGCGTGCCTGAAGATGCTGTATAATTTTATATCTTAATTGAAGGCATGGGAGTGCTGAGTTTTGTAATAGAACCTGTCAAAGAAAGGAGGCCTAAAGTGAAATTCTTTAAAATCTGTTTATACTAATCTAAAATGCCTTTTCAATCACTTGCCTCTGAGTCTTGACTCATCTGACCTCGTTTCACTTGTTTTCTGGTCATCAGTCTTCCAGGACAGGCAGGACTTCAATTTGTCTATTTCTTAAAACTGTCAATGTCTTCAGTCTGTAATGTAGAAGTTTCTCTGTGCTTCTGACTCTTGTCAGTCTGAGTCCCCCTTTTTTTTCTCTTCTTTTCTGAGTCTTCTATGTGAAGACTTGGGTATTTTAAAGCTAATTATTTGTGTTCTTTTGCCTTTATTCTAATATTTTCTGTTCTTTCAGTGCTGTCTGGTCATAAGGTTGAGGCATTTTTGTATGTACCAAGTACACCTCTACTCTGCCTTCTGCCTGACTTCAGACTAACATGGCTAAATATCTCTGTTGGGAGGTTACAGTTTACAGCACAGGTTTTTGGGTTGCTTTTTTTTAATTCAGTAATCACCAAAAACTTGATCAATTAATTTGGTATGAAAGGCTGTTACTTTTGTGTGTTCCAGAAAAGTTGAAAACTAGTCTCTATCCAGTTGTCCCCCTACATTCATTTGTCTCCTTACCTTTTTAATCCCCTTCTCTCCCTTTGCACCCCTGCCTCAAATAGTCCTCTTGGAAATGAGCTTCCTGAAAGTTAGAATCAAGATGTTTGTCACTCATGTGGTTTGTGGCACAGTATTTAGTGAAGCTGAAAGGTGTATTTGTCAGAGGAAACTCTTGGCGTGTTAAATTGCTCAAGGTATCTTGCTGCTTGTTGTTGTGAAAGCAAACACAAAGTTGCTTTTTAAATTAATATTTTGTGATTTGTATTTAACCTTTGTTAATCTTGTTGCTATGTACTAATTTGTTTGCTAATAGAATTTAGTCTGTTAAAGGTGTGTTCATAACAATGTATCTTAATTTTGTTCTCGTTGCTCTCTTTACAGGCTGCTGACTTGAGTAAACCAATAGACAAAAGGATATACAAAGGAACACAACCTACGTGTCATGACTTCAATCACTTAACAGCCACAGCAGAAAGTGTCTCTCTCCTAGTGGGCTTCTCTGCTGGCCAGGTCCAACTTATAGACCCTATTAAAAAAGAAACTAGCAAATTATTTAATGAGGAAGTAAGTGGGAATCCTAATTTTTTTTGCATGCAAACTTACTTGTCATTTCTAAAAGTTGTATTCTGTTAGACATCTGTTTCTGGAAAAGGTGTGTCTAGTGCCGAGCATCAGAAAGCCACCATCAGTTGTCTTCATTTTATCCACTGTGGAACCAGATTCACCTTGGGGCTCACAAATATCAAAATTCTGTAGATTCTCTCTGTAGATGTCTTCAAACATCCCATTGTTCAGTCAGCCTGAATGGACCTGTACTAGCTGACTGGTTAAATGACTGTTATAAAGGTAAAACTTGGGTGCCTTTCCACAAAAAGCAAGCAAAAAACACTTGGGGTTTGGTTTCTTCATGTTCTTTCCCCCCCTGCATTTCCCTACTCTTGACTGGGGAAATACTGATGATTCAACTGGAGCTCCTTCCCCCCCTTCTCCCTCTCTCCCTCATATGTACTAGCACCAGTAGGATTTGTAATTTGCCGTAGGTACAACTGCATCAGTGGGAGCTGTGGTGATGAGGTTGCAATAGCAGCTGATATTTTTTTTTTCCTGTGACGGCTGTTCATATGACAAAAATGCTGAAAACTGAACTGATAGAACTTTGTTTCAGCCCTTGAGTTCCCATCAGCATAGATGAACTCATGATACTTGTGAAAGTTGCCCACTAGTTCTATCGGAAGTGTAGATGCAACCTGTGTGACTGAACTGTAAGATAGACAAGACGGTTGCATGCCTGAATTCTGGATACACTAAAGCTTGTACAGGGTAAAGCTACACTGAGAGGTCTATGACAGAGGTTGCTGTTTAAATAGCATCTTTTTTGTAATGCTGGGAGAAGCTTAGCATCTGGCCAGGTAGAGGAACCCCACCAATCCCACTGTGCTCTGCACCAGAGGTGGGGAGAGCAGCCTGCTCAGAGGCACGGTATCAGGGAGGCTTTCAGGCTTCCCTATCCCCACTGCTTCCTGGTCCCTTTTAATAAGTGTACCTGCAATTCAAAAGTTGGGCATGTTAACCAAGGGTGATTTGTAGCTCCCAGGCTGCCTGTATCTCCTTTAAAGTTTCTGGTGCTGGGCAGGGGTTTAGGTTGTAGCCATGTTGGTCTAAGGACATAGGCAGACAAGGTTCCTTGGGTGAATTTGATATCTTTTATTAGACCAACCCAAATAGTTGGAGAATAGTTATTAAGCAAGCTTTCGGGTTCAAAAACCCTGTCAGGCTAAGGAAGTTTCAGCAGTTGGTGTGTGCTCTTTCTGGATGGTGCTGGGCAGAAACCTGGAAGAGCCCTGGGCGCAGTGGGATGAGGTACAGCAAGCAGAGCTACCTTCCGGTCCCTGGGAGCCATAGGCACCGAGTAAGTCGGGGCCTGAGGACCCTGGCCTCCCTTCTGCTGGGGAAGAGGGCTGCTGGGGCCCAAACCTGAGGAAAATTGTATCATATTTCTTAGGAATAATGACCGAGGCCAGGGATCTAGGTTTTCCATTCACTGGGAAAATGGATTTTCTCCTTTTTAATGGAGAAAAATGCGGGAAACCACGGGTTTCCCCTTGCAGGCTGTCAGAGTTCCAGCCTGCAAGGGGCTGCTTGGAGCTGGGGGGAGCAGGGAGGCGATCAGAGGTGAGGGACGCCATGTGTATCTGCGTGCACACGGCAGCCAAGCAGCGGTAGAGAGGAGCTCCCGCATCTCCCTCCAGGTAAGTCTGTGATAGGGGACAAGTGATTGGGGAGGGGTGGGGTGGGGGGGGTATAGGCAATGCAGTGCAGGGGTGGGGGGCAAGGTGAAGTGGTAGGGGGCATGTGCCCTCTAAGATGTCTGTGCCCATAGGGGTTGCGGTAGGGCCAGACTAGCTCTGGGCAGGAGCTGCCTCTGCAGCCCAGCAGGCAGTATCTGATGTGGGTAGGACCGCTGTGCTGCCATGGCTGCCAAGGTGAGGCATAGCAGCAGTGGTAGCACCAAGTTGTGCCCCAGTTCCTGCTGGGTGGGCAGGGGGTGCCTCACCTTGACTGTGGTGACACATGCTCCCTCCCACAACAGGTCCCCTCCACTGGGCCATAGAGGCAGCTCCTGTCTGGAGCTGGTCCAACCCAGCTGCAGCCTGTGACCCACTGGGCACAAATCTTGGGGGGGAGGGCGGGATGTGCTTCCTTACCCCGTCCCTGCTTCATCACCTGTACCCCTCCCTGCCCCCCCTCCACGTGTGACCTGTGCCCACAGCCCACCCTTCCCCACATGCTGGGGGGCACATATCCATCGTCTTAGGCCCCCTCCAGCAAAAATAAGCACCTGTGCCAGGAACAATCCCAGTTGGACAGTAATGTGGGGGGAGAGGGGTTCTCTGCAAGCAGTGGCAGGGGCTGATTGTGAGAGGGGACTGCCCCCTGCTGTCACTTGCAGGAAGCCCCCTCACCCATGCCTCTGTTCAAGCATCTGAGGCAGTGCTGATCAGCTCCTGCCCCCACGGGAGGTTTCCTGGGAGCGAGGACAGCAAAGATTCTGGGGCTACTTGTAAATCCAGGAACTTTAAAGGGCTCATGATGACTGAACACCAGTAGCTCCTTAAAGCCTAGGGAGTTTAAAGAACTCCCAGGAAGCCAGAGACTAACTTGAACTTTTGAGTTTCCCAGAACCTGGGCTCGCAAGCCTGTCCATGGACCTCTCCAGTTCACTGACAAACCTCCCAGGAGTTGGGCGGAGGGTGAGCTGTGGAGCAGTACTTTATCACCCTGTGGCTGAAAAGCATGTCTTTGTGCTCCAGCCAGGGGTTTGAAGATGTGGCCGCACTTTTATTTTTTGTAGTGTTATAAACGTTTTGTAGCACTACAAAATGAACATCTAGAGGCAGGCGTTACAGTACTGAAATTAGTAGTAGCAGAGATTGGAACTGAAACAAAGTAATACATTTACTGCCTGTACTAATGTTGGACAGTTAAAATAGAAATGTTTATGTTGATTCATATTTATGTAACTGGAACTTTTTAAAGCCAGTGTAGTGGTCTGCAGGTAAAAATGGCAAACCTGGTAATATGAACTGTAATGGGCTTTGCAGCAAGAAGCCCTTAATAGATGCTATCAGACAGACATTCAAGACTTGGGACTTATTTGTGCATGTAGTTAAAAATGATAGAGGTTGGAGAAGCTATGATGCGACTTGAAAGCAGCAGCTTGATTTGGATGAGTAGTTGGCAGAGATGCAACTGCTGCCTCCTTCACAAGCTGATCTCCTACCCTGAAGCAGTCCAGGCAGTAAAAATGTCCTCTGACGCATGTGACTAGCAAAATACCTTAACTTACAGTGGAGTCTTTTTACTTATAGTTGCCTAATGAGTAAAATCCAACAAGATTGAATTAAACTTCATTACCATATTTTGAAATGCCACACTAGTAAAATATATAAGATGCAAGGACTTGGATTGCTCATTTTGGTGAGATTATGAAACTGCTGTGGCTGTGTAAATTCAGTGCATGTCTACAGTGATGGAAAACTATCTAGTTCTAGTTGTATGTAAGAAGAATTGGTGATCTTTTTTTCTAGTGGAAAAGCCTTTACCCTGACCAACTGCATCCTCAGGCTTAGGTTAAGGCAAATAAACTATTAACACATCTTGGCTTTCTTTTTAACTCTTTTCCTTAGACCTGCGTATCTATGCAGCATCTAAGTTTTGATTCTTCTTGTCCTACGTTTCCAAGTTCCAGCTTTCCTTCTATCCATGCCACCAAACTTCTTGGCCAGGTCCTGACCATCTTATGCCTCAGTTGACTTCAGGTTCTTCCTCTTCCTCCTTTTCTGGCCTCAGGCTGTAGCCTTGCCCCTTCAAGTCTGTTCAAAACTTTGATAGTTAACTGCTAAAGTCCCTCCCTTTGCACTCAGTGCGAACGTGAAGTTCTTATCCAGGCTTTCAAAGCTCTTCACAGTTCAGTCTCAGTCTACCTATACTTAGTCTCATCCTGTTACCCTTGGCAAAGACACCAAGATGACCCTTAGTTGCCTGCTTCTCCAATAAATGTTTTAGTGCTTTCTCCCCTGCTGTATTTCATGAGTAGAAGAAGCTTACAGTTAAAATAGGTGAACTCACCACATTATTCAGGATCCTCCCCAAAACTTGGCATGTTCCTCATACACTTGTAAAACTGCACCCTTTGTAATGGGTAAGCAGATGATTAATTGTGATCACTTGCTCCTGACTGGCCAAGAATTCTGCCCACCCTAGTTTGTATGTCTGTTGTTTTTGTTGTTGTTGTTTTTTGTGGGGGGGGCAGGTGGGGTTCCTTATCTACTCTTCCCTGTCCTCTGTGTGTGTTTGTATGGGCTTGTTAACTTTTTAGATTGTAAGCTCTCTGGGGCAGGGTTTGCCATCTTTTTTACAGTACTTAACATAATGTGGTCTTCAAATACTGCTTCAGTATAAACATTGGAATAATATTTACCCCTCTAGGTAGGAGCTCTTGGTCACAGTAATGGAGCAATGTGAGGAATCTTTCATTGTACCATAGTGGCACGTGTTTTAACGGCTAAAATTTGATGTAGATTCTTACTTGCTGTCTCCCTATCATCATTGTCCTTGTTTGCACAAGGTAGTTTTCTAACTAGTATCGTTAGAGGTACAACTGAAAAGGCATAAATGATCAACAACAAAACAGAAGCATCTTAACTCTCTTCAAATGCAGAAAACACGGGACACTTTTTTTTTTTTTAAACAGTGTCACAAACTGAACAAAACTCATTTTGAAGACCCTTCTTGTTTCAGAAGAAATTTGCTAGATGATATTACCATATTTACTGACACTACTTACAGCCTTCCCCCAAAAAATCAGCCCTCCAAAACTGGAGTGTCCATCTGAAGTGGGAAAGCTGATTTTTCTTTGCTGGAATAAAGATGGGGATGAATAGAAGCCAGGTAGATGCAGTGCTCTAATGGGTCCCAAGATGGCTGCTGCTGATCTCTGGCCCTAGCAAGCAGAAGGGACAGACTCCTGTGTTAATGCTGTCCCAGTGATAGCTACTGGTTGAGCACGGTTGATTGTGCCTGAAGGAGCAGTTGAGCTGGCTCAGGGCCAGTGAGCTGCTGTGTGCAGGCTGTAGTACTTTGATGAAGCTTGTGGTATGGGAACAGCCCTTCATTTACCGGAACTTTACAAAGAACTATTTACAGTAAAGAAGAACCGTCTTGTTACTGTCATTGCAAGGATCTGGGACCTAGCCTTGCTGCTGTCATTCTACCCTAGGAAGTTTCTGCTGTTTCACCCATACTGTCGTGATGCTATGCTTCCTGGATACTCTGTTTCTAGGAGGACTTATTCTGTCACAGTTGGCCATGACTGGAAAAGGCACTTGTCTTATTTGGAGGTATGTGAGACAATAAAGTAGTTTTCAGAACCTTCAAATACAATGACTACTCCTGCAAGGCGATAGTGGAGGAGATAGTGTCAGGTCCTTGGCAGAGCTTATCTACTGGGACTAATGGCAGCTGTTGCTCCAGATAGCTTAAAATGATCACTTAACTTCTGCTTGCCGAAGTGGCAGACATGGTCCTAGAATGAGTAGTGTTACCTCATCTATCAGTTTTTTACTTTTTCTCTGACATACCCAAGTACATTTCACAGCTAGTCAGTTCCCAGTGTTTTCCTGGGAGTTCCTCTTTATTTGTTTGTTACAATCTTCATTGAGAGGGCAGTTGAATTACACAACCTACAACCCATGGCCCATTATCTTTCCCCTTATATATTGTTATCACTTGTTTCTAGATCAAGTTGTAGGTGTCAAGTGATCAGATGGGTGTGGCATGGCTGATCAGCTGGGTTTACAAATCTACTAGGTAATCAGGCTCAAGCAACCAGGTAATACTTTGGTGTTTTTTCAGCACTGACAAGACAATTGACGGAACACATTTGGATATTATTTAATGTGGCCACCTATTCCATCTTCAGTTGTAGAATCTATTACAATATATTTGTTTAAAAGGAGATTACTTGTACGTGGAGCGACCAAACAGACTGCAAAGTTTCTCTGGACTGACATGTATAAAAAATATTCATAAAAAGGGTCTGGTTGTTTTGTTTTTATTTTTTAAGTCTCTGAAATGTAAGTGTAGGCCAGCAGTCTTCCCCATCTCTAAACTGGGTTGTTTAAAATTAAAGTAATTGCTGCACATATTGATTGCAGCTTGGCATACCTTAATCTGTGGACTTTGGAAACTCTAGAATTTTCTAGTGGTCTCCAAAAGGTTTTTGTTTGAGGATGTGTTCCATGAATATGACGTCCAATATGATCTGGTCTTTTACTTTTAATTGCTAACCGGTAAGCTTTCTGTAGAGGGTAGGTGATTAGCATATTCACACAGATCATGCCCATTGCTAGAATTTATGGCTTAACTTTCTTCCAGTGTTCAGTAAAAAACCATATAGCTAAGAATATTAAATGGTGATGTATAGTAACTTTGGCTTAATTGAGAGATTCTCTTTGAAACAAAACATTGGACTAATAAGAATAAACCTTCCCAAAGTACCTTTCTCTAAACCGTAATTTTTCTTCCTAATTGTTTGATAATACCTCAAGATATCTGGAGCTATTTTGCAAGTAGAAGCTCCTATGCCAAAAGCTTAGAACACTTTCCTTAAGTTCTGAGTGGCCAGAATTCAGTAAAACTTGATATTGATAATGTAAAACTATATCAGACTCTTCTGATGTATATTTTTTCCTTTTTTTTTTTCACAGAGACTAATAGACAAATCCCGAGTAACCTGTGTAAAATGGGTACCAGGTTCGGAAAGCCTTTTCCTAGTAGCTCATTCCAGTGGCAGTATGTACTTGTATAACGTGGAACACACTTGTGGCACCACAGCCCCACACTACCAGCTACTCAAACAAGGAGAAAACTTTGCAGTCCACACTTGCAAGAGTAAATCCACAAGAAACCCTCTGCTTAAATGGACAGTAGGTGAGGGGGCCCTGAATGAATTTGCCTTTTCCCCAGATGGGAAATTCTTGGCATGTGTGAGCCAGGATGGCTTTCTTCGTGTGTTTAACTTTGATTCAGTGGAGTTACATGGTACAATGAAAAGCTACTTTGGAGGACTACTATGTGTATGTTGGAGCCCTGATGGGAAATATATTGTAACAGGTGGAGAGGATGACTTAGTAACAGTTTGGTCTTTTGTGGACTGTCGAGTAATAGCTAGAGGCCATGGACATAAATCATGGGTCAGTGTTGTGGCTTTTGACCCATATACCACTAGCGTAGAAGAGAGTGACCCGATGGAATTTAGTGGAAGTGATGAGGATTTCCAAGACCTCCTTCATTTTGGCAGAGATCGAGCAAATAGTACGCAATCTAGGTTGTCAAAAAGGAACTCTACAGACAGTCGTCCAGTAAGTGTTACGTACAGGTTTGGCTCAGTAGGTCAGGACACGCAGATCTGTTTGTGGGACCTTACAGAAGATATTCTCTTTCCCCACCAACCTCTCTCGAGAGCAAGGACACACACAAATGTTATGAATGCCACAAGTCCACCTGCAGGAAGTGGTGGAACTAATCCAGGAAGTAATGGCAACAGTATCACAACACCTGGAAACTCTGTACCTCCTCCTCTTCCTCGGTCAAACAGCCTTCCGCATTCTGCAGTCTCAAATGCTGGCAGTAAAAGCAGTGTCATGGATGGTGCCATTGCTTCTGGTGTTAGTAAATTTGCGACCCTATCACTACACGATCGGAAGGAAAGACACCATGAAAAAGATCACAAGAGAAATCATAGCATGGGACATATATCTAGCAAGAGCAGTGACAAACTGAACCTAGTTACTAAAACCAAAACGGACCCAGCTAAAACTTTGGGAACACCTCTCTGTCCCAGAATGGAAGATGTTCCCTTGTTAGAGCCTCTTATCTGTAAAAAGATAGCACATGAAAGACTGACTGTGTTAATTTTTCTTGAAGACTGTATAGTCACTGCTTGTCAGGAGGGATTTATTTGCACATGGGCAAGGCCTGGTAAAGGGGTAAGTTTTAATCCTTAATGCTGCATCACAGAACTAGACCTCTGAATAGGCAGTTCTCTCAATAGAAATGAATGTTGAATATACAATTTCTTTATGCTTAATGTAAAAAGATTATTTCCTCAGAGCCATACTTTTGGATACTGCATGCCATATTTCTGAATGATTTGAAGTGTCTTCGGTACAGTTCTTAAATATAGTTGCCTTCCAACAAGAGAAATACTGTGCATCTAAAGTAACAATTAGTGTTCCTATATTTTAGTATAACCACAACACAGTGAAAGCTATTTAAAATGTAGATTTAAAGTCAGTCACTGGAGTGACAATATTGTAATTGGTCAGGTGTTTTCCTACAAAATATTGCAGTCATGAGTAGTTTATAAAAAGCTGCTGCTGTGATTCAATCATGAAATGTGGTGTTTTATACCTTAAGTGTACCGTCTGAAAACTGGAAACCAAAGCATTTACCCTATATACCTTTTTATGGATTTCTGCCATGTTCATGTAAGATGTTGCATCTTATGTCAGTTATTTTTATGAACAATTTATTTTCAAATCCTCTAACCATATCAGGGATTGTTAGCACATCTGTGAAATTTTGAGTCTGTTAAATGTTAGTACAGTACACACACGATTCTGATTTTTACATTTTGATTTATATAGAAGTCCATCCACATGAGGAAGATCATTTTAACTTTCTGTATAAATGGCTTCATATTTTGTCCAATATTATCAGCTTTCTAATCAACTCGGAGGCAGATTTCCTTTAAGGCAGACACTTGTCCTATCAATTTAACTTTCATTAAAGTAATCCATTTTTAGATTTTTGACCTATTGGGACATCCTCTTAAACTGGAATACAATATTTATTTTGTCCACTGCATGGCAGATTTGTTTTTTATCTCTTTGAATAAGTAGAGAACTAATGGCTGTTTTCTCTCTCATAACTTTTAAGCGCCTTGTGCCAAGATAGCTTTGTTTGCAGCAACAGTTTAATGAGATGGACGCTATTTTCAGAGCAGTAACTGCACCAGTCTAGTAGAGGATGCCCTAGTTATTTCCAGTGGTTTTCAAACAATTGAGAGGTTTATGTTATCACATTACTGGAGCATTCACTTCTAAATTATTGGAATATTTTCCCAGTTGAACTGTTTAAATGAAAATACAAGGTTCCTTTGGTCTAAACTACTTGATTCTCAAGAGTCCTGTTTTTGGAGTTGGATCAGTGAATAGACCTGAGGAAAAATAAAATATAACTTTATATCTCTGTTGCAAGGTAGTTGTGGCAATCTTAAAATTACATGGTTCAGAATCGTCTCTAAAAGAGAACTGGTGATTCTAGCTGCTTTGAAATGCCAAGCTTCTGTGGTTTAAAACCAACCGACAAACACAACCTTTAGTTTGTCTTAGTGTGTGTGCACTTTGTGAACCTTTCTCCCACTTGTTATCTTTATGCACACTTGATGACTACATTTAAATCTGAAAAGTGTGCAAACCTTTTGGAAAAAGGGCACTGCTTTACATTTTATGGATATTTAGTACATGGGGGGTGGGGGGGGACCTAGAATATTGAAACTACATGAGCTAAAACAATAGAACCACTTTTCTCTTAATTCTGTGACTTATTGCAAGCCACAGTTTGGTTTTTGTTTATGCTTTTTTTTTAAAGTAACTTTAATTATATATGCATCAGTGTCTCAGGTATCCAGCATAGCATGCATCTTTTTCTTTTTGTTCCAGATCTGTTTTTGTACCCCTCTAAATTTTTTTTCAGATAGTAAGTCAGGTTTTGTTAAACTGAAGGATATGTAATTTTAAACAGATGTTTATGCATTGATGGTTTTTTTTTTTGATTTGGAATACAACATTTCAAATATTTCAGAGATAGAGTATGCAGTACCAAAAATCAGGATTTATGTATTTGGCCAATATGGAAAACTTTAATTACAGGTAAGTCATTTTCATGCTAAATTTCACTTTCAAAATTAATATTGCACACTGATGTAAATGCCATATTGTTTAGGATGTATTTACTTAGAAATTTTCAGATGGATTTGTTTTTCTGGGATTTTTTGTTTTGTTTTGTTTTTGATTTGCATTTACAGTGAGCTCACTCTGCTGGTATAAACTAAGTTTTGGTGGCATGTTTACAGGGGGTTGGGAAAATATTTGTGCCAGAAAGATGTTATAAGCATCCTTTTTGTTTATGAGAGAGCACTTATTATAACTTTATACATATTTAATGAGAAATGTCAAAGTATAAAAACACTTATGGTAACGTCTCTTTACTAGGTTATATACCACACATTTCTATCCTGCCAGTGGCTTTATCCCTGGGTAAGTCTGGCACTCTAGGATATAAAGCTCCTACCTTTTAGTCTTCCTCTCACTGACTGGCTTCTTGACAGTCAACTGCCCCCCCCCCCACCCCCCCGTTTTGTCCTACAACAACTAAACATGAAAATTCTCTCTTTTTACTAAATTCATTCCGTTCTTGCTTTCGGGGGCCTCCATTGAATTCCTTCCACTGCCAACACAGAGAGCGTAAGACAGAAAATTGAACTAATCTTATAGTACAAAGTGTGGCTGCTGTTGAGCCAGCCCTATCTTTCCCTCTTCTTTTTTCCTCCTTTTTGTAAGAGCCATCAAAGCATGTATATGGCCAACCCTGTGACCAGTATTCTACTCTGACCTTGTACGCAGCATTTAATATCTGCTGCTCTTGGCTGGAAATCTAGCAATGGGTCTTCACAGCAGCATGGGGCACTGCCGCACTGCTCTATATGCTCCGTACAGCGAACACTACAAGCTTTTTGAACGATTACAATTTCTGTTAAACCATCGTACCTTGAGCTTCTTCATTGGATAAGCTGTTCTTGTCAAATATGAACCAAACAAGTTTCTAAAACTCCTATGCTAACTTCTGGTCAGAAATAATGCAAGGAATTTACAAAAATAAATTTAAATTGGACCAGTGGAATGCAGACAGGTGACGTGCTTTAACAGTCCAAAATGAATTGTCAGTCATTGTTCTTTTCCTTTTGGAAATCTGACTACAGAATTCAATCTCAGTCTCATTTGTGGAGGGTGGGTTGACGTCTGAGAAGGTAATTGTAGCCATACTGCCTGTGGGGATTGCTCCCTAGGTAAACCTAGGGAGGGGGTCATAGAAATCATAATGATCTTATGATAATCATAATGATCTTATCCCTACCGTGTGAAAAACAGCTTAAAGGGAGCTGGAAATATTAAACTGCATACAGATCGCAGTGTCAGTTGCTTCCAAATGCAGTCAAAATGCTGGGCACATTTTTATGCAAGGCAATTTATTTGATTGCTCATTACTTTGACTAAATCACTTTTACTAGGCATGACTGTAGCATCCTAAACGCATTCTTTTAATATAATTATTTAATTTATTAAAAATAAACTGAATTACCTACCCAGATGGCTGACACACACTTAACCTGTTCACAATGTTCTACAACCACTTCATTTTATATCAAGGGAAAATTGCCCACTTTATCTCTTGTAAGAGAGCTCAAGGTAAGATGGGACACAACGAAGGAATACTTGAGTGAAATGGCAGTATATACCCTGGCAGAATGAGTACGTTACCACTTGGTAAAACAAAATGCACATGGAATTTAAATATTTATTTCATTCTTGTTGTACAGGAGAATCTAGACTTAAATTATAACATCCTTGCATTTGCATTTTCCAATTAACTACAATTGTAGTGCAGTATCATGTTTTGGTATGACTGTTATGGTAAAAAAAAAAAAAAAAGTACTTAAACATTCATTTACTATATTGGAATTAAAAGCGGTTACACGTACTAATTTTTCCTCAATGGAAAGGGGCATTTCACCATTACAATTGAAGTTCAATTGCTGATTCTTAAATACTATCAAATAGTTCTCTTTCAAAAGTGACATGGTATCTATATAAACTTCAGGGATGATTATAGTAAAACTGAATCCTGGCTGTAAGGCATCAGAGTACCAAGCTGAAATATTTGAACTTTTCTCTAATGGGCATAATAGCAGGGTTGCACCTAGCACACCTCGTTATCAGGATGAAATTCAGCTCATGCTGTGGTGTGACAATTTCTAGCAAGGTGTGCACAGTGGAAGTATGACCTAGTGACTTCAGTGAAGCCAGCGAAGATCAGAATCCAGTAAAAGCTTTATGATGAGGGTGAATGGAGTAGGAAATAACATGACTTTTACTGAACACTTCCAGAAATTCCTTGATTTGAACTATCACCTCTTAATTTGATTATGTATTCAGAATGTCTGTATACATCTGCCCCTCTAACAGTTTAAAGCTACTAAATTGATATTAAAAATGCTGGCCTGCCTTTGTTTCAATAACAAAATTTCGTGTCAGTTAATTTATTGTCAAATTACATGTAAAAATTAAAGACAAGATTTTTTTCCTGCATTTTTATGAATTCTGTATACTTGAGTTTGTTACAAGATTGACATGTTAGGTGATACTGTACAAAATTGTATTGACTATACCTTTAGTGAATATCAAAAGTAAAATTCATATGTATTTCCTTTTTACACTTCCATCTAACTTCTTGACAACTTGAATAAATTTCATAGAGCCTTTCTAACATAAAATATTGTTAAATTAACTGTTGCAATAATTAAGCTTTAAGAAGTATTGTTGGTATATTTATAATTTTAAAAAATCATGTTTGTTTCATACTGCTTATTTTTAGCTGTTCTATTGTGTCTGTTACAGCTGAAAAACTTTACTAAATACTTGACATTAAAAAATTTGCTGGGGTTGTCCTCTGTATACTGATGTTAAATAAAAATGTGTGACTGAACTGTAAATGTAGATAATTTTCAATACCTTTTCACATGAACTAAAAGTGGGAATAGAAAAAATTAAAGGTTTTTCAATGCTGAAACATTTGCTAAACAAATGGGTCCTGTGAAGTGGCTAGCTCCTTAGCTGTTTTATCACGTAAAAGAATTGACTAAATCGCATAATTTTTCTAAGTAAATATATTTCAAATTTGTTCTCTAGTTAGTATCAATCAAATGTGGGGTTAGAGCTCTCGCTTCTAATTTTTTAATTCTGTTTTCAAGATCACGTTTGTTCTGATACGTAAGGATTAAACAAGCAATTTGAAATAAATTTGGTAAAGCGATTAATTCAGTTCTAAACTGGTAATTTAGCCAAGTTTGAGAGAAGCTGTATCTATGCACATCCATCAAGCAGCAGCTGAATGGAACTTGTCGAACTCTACAGGAGCTCTTTCCTCTGAACTCCAGTTCAGGCTGTGGTGTTCATCTCAGCCTTGCTTAGACCTTGAAGCTCTGTGGTAGAAAATGGAGATTGCCGCCTTAAAGATGTGGCTCAAAAGAAGTTGTTTCAGGGTCTTTGCCATCTAGAAGTAAAACTGTTTCTGAGCTTGATAGTGAAGTTAGGCCAGTGTGGCCCCTTCCCTTCCATCAGAAGTGAATAAGAATACTTCATCAACCTGTTGAATGAATGCTAAGTTTATTTGTACAAGCAGCCAAGAAAGATGATTGGGAGACTTGTTTTCTAGCTTAGTGCTTGTCTTTTGGGACCTTTTAAAGTTCTTTTTATTGACAGATTCTGGAGTCATCCTGAGTCCTGTCAAACTAAGGCAGAGATGTTTCCCTGTTGAAGCGTGACTTCTGTAGAGTCACTGAGAGAAGTTTCTTTATCTAACTTGTTGGATTTTAAACATCAGAGGATTGTCTGGTACTTCAAGAGGTAGGAAGGGGGCAATCTGAATCCATTTGGGCATAGCAGTGCTGCCGTTCTTGTTTTGTTTGTTGTCTTTGAAAGTATGTGCAGATGGAGAAACAAGTGAAGTATGTCCTGAAGGCTTGCTTGAGCAAATGGTATTATGTGCATTGGCTGTTCAAACTAGTTCAACTGGAAGTGTTTAGAACGTGAAAGAAATCTGATCTTCACATTCTGCAGCCACAACGAATGCAACTTTTTCAAAAGATACCTTAGAGCTGTAACATGGCTTCTGCCGCCTTTGCACAGAAGTCCTCGAGGAGATAACTACTAGCACTGATCACTTTCTGTTCTGGTTTTAAAATTGACCAGTTGTCTTCATGATTGATTTCCTTCAGTTTAAGTTTTTAGATCTTATCTGTGTCTAAAACTAACCGTGTTTTTGGGAACTGAGTAGAAAATGAGGCAATACTTACCTGGTTTATTACAATTCTTTCTGTTGCTTGTGATGTAACCTAAATGTTGGAGGCAATTCTAGTCCATAAAGGCTAGAAAATATTATTCCATTATATGAGCCCTTAACTTTTAAACTAGGTCAAAGGTCCTGCTGCCTAAGTCAGATTGCCTGGGTCACTGTTGTTGATAGGAATCTGTGTACTTCAGCAGACACCTAAAGAAAACTTGCAAGATGGCTGTCCCCAACCTTGGCCCAGTGTAAGGATATATGCTGTCTGGACACATGCCTTTCATATTTAGATATAGGTACTAAACACGCGAGTGTTTACTTTCCCTAATCCCTGCAGGTGTCAAGGGGAAGAAGGAGTTTCAGTTAGGATTTAGAGACAAATACTAGAATTTAGCTTTCCACTTTGTCCAGAGGGTATTCTCTAAAGCTAAAAATAGAGACTAATGCACACAGTTGAAACTGCAACCGAGTACTTGTGGTGCTGCTCACGCTTTTACCAAATCCAAGGTACTTTTTTCTAGTTGAATCTATACTCTTAATATTTGGGCAGACATTACTGGAGCAACACAAGAAAAAGCAAGTGCAAGGCGCTTCAGTAATGACACTAAATCTCCATGTGGCAAGCATATTGGATTCTGCTTTGTTAAAATAACAGGCTTTGCATGACCCTTCTCCCATTCTCACCATCCAGGAATTACCTTTGCAATATGGTGGGTAGATGTACAGAAAGGATTTGTTCTTAAGTAAT